GAGATGTAGATGTTTGTGAAAAATGTTTTCTCTGTTTTGGAGGGAAGCACACTGTTAAACTGTACCCTATTTATTGCATCAAATGCAAGGGGTGGATAATTTTATCAGTTGTTTATTGATCATGCAACAATACATATTACTGATATAGTTTTCATTAACAACCATTGCTATATAGATGATAACTTTGTCTAGTGCTCTTATGAATGTTTTAGCATGATTTGTGAAAATGTAACTACTATACTGAATGACATAGCATAGACTTCTTCATGGCTAGTGTTTGCGTAGGCTATTTCATTTCATTCCGTAACCTACTTGTTCAACATATCTGTGTACTAATGTTAAATGCTACTGTTACTGACAGCATTGATAACGTTTCTTACAGATAATATTATATTTTTGCGTTTCCCTAACCGAACATGCTATCCTGTCAGCAATAACCTATTTGTGTTTTTTTTTTATCACTGTCAGTGTAAGTGCTGATACAGTGTTGCCAGATATTGCTATAAAAACAAAGAAAAAACGAAAAATAAATAAAAAATAAACCGAAATTATTTCAAATCTTTGCAAATGAGATAAAAAAAGATATAGCTGACTCTAAACTTTAACAACTTTCTAAAGTGTCAAATTAAGTGGAAAAGACAAGTCCAAAAACCCTAATAATAGCTGGATCTGGCAACACGGAGGCTGCGCGCCCACGCCCTCACTCACAGCTCTCTCAAGACTTGTTCACTCCACCAGTATCTCGCAGCGATCATTTTCATACCACGGACGCTAAACAATCTTGCAAAATGTCTAAACTGATACATACAAACATTCATATGAGGAGTTTTAAACAGCAAATTAGTAATTCAGAGAACAAATTTTATTTTTGAACATAAAAAATTTACAGAGATCCGGACCTCTGTAGCTGGGCCTGGGTGAACTTACTGCAAGGTCAAACCGATATGTGTTATGAATGATGAAACTATGAATTGATATTATGTTGCAACTTTTCTTCCCAAAATATTTAGATTAATTAAAACCAACGAAAATTTTATTTAAGTAAACTTAAGAGTGAACATTGTTTAAAATAATTATTCATTTAATGTCTATATTAAATATATTGTATTGTTTTGAAAGAAGTCTCTGATGCTCACCAAGGCTGCATTTATTTAATCAGAAACAGCAAAAATAGTAGGGCTGGGTAAAAAAATATCGATATCTCGATTTTAATCGATTTGAATTTTTACGAAACGATATCGATTCTTAAATCCCAAGAATTGATTAGTCTAGCCTGTTTTCATGATGGAATATTGAAGCGCACCTCCCATCCAATAAATCGTAATAAGCATTGTGCGTTGGTACTTTTAATATGAAACAAAGTCTCA